ACAGTTGGACCATCAAGAGTTCTCAGATGACTTATCTTCCATGTTTTCGTGTGAGATCCTTCAAGCTGAGATTTACAGGTAAAATATACAATTAAAAAACCCCAGATCACCACTGTTATATTTTCCTAGAACATCTATCTTGCCTCTCCAGTTGAACACATGAAAACTTAGGTACTTTGAGACATCTTTTGAGGCATTAAAAATATATATATTTTGACTTCTTTATGCAGCCCAACATATGTACAGTCATTTTGCCCCATCAATTTTTAAAAACTGATATGAAATGCTATTAAAAATTTATGCCAGTTTACAAGATTTGAGAACAGGCATACTGCAAAAATGGTTTCAACTGTAGTTCAGTAAAACAAACACCAGGAAAGATACAGCAAGAAAAATAATTACTTTCTTCTGAGAAGCTGAGCACTGAATATTGCAATTCTTTAGTGAACATTTGAGAAAGGGCAAGTCAGTTGAAAAATGACACTAACCTTTAAAGCCAAGTACTTACACATCCTTGTGTTTGGCAGGGGATATGCCCTCCCCTCCAAACTGGAATAGCTTTGCATTTCTGCAAACCACTTAAGGCTGACACCTCTTGTTTTGTCATTTAATTTTGTCATTTTGTCATTTAACTGTAGGAAAACAAACAGCAAAACAGTTCACAACCCTTGGACCAAATTTTATAAGAACTCTGAATAAACAGAGATCCAAACCAGTCATGCAGCACAAAGTTAGGGACAACAGTCTACATTCACAGAGTAAAAGAAACTGTAATTATAAACTGTTCAGTTTTGATGCTGTTCCCATCAAGTTAAAACTCTTTCCAAGACCATACCCTAAAGAAGTGGTCTCCAAAGTGAGGTGCATGCACCCCAAGACAATCCACTTGGGTGCAAGAAGAAAGTATATTTTGCAGAATTAACAAACAAAAATTTAAATAATTTAAAAATAGTCTTTATTTCACTTTTCTATCATACTTTTTCAATTTCTACTCCTGTGTATGTACATAATATATTAGTATAGTACATATATTATTTATAAATTAATAAATAAACATATAGTGTGTGCACACGTAAGAGTTTTTAGTGAAATGGGTGTGCAACCAGTAAGTTTGGAGACCACTGGCCTCGAGGATGTTGTATGATATTTCAGCTGCTTGCACAATCACATATCCTGTTGCTGAATCCATTTTTTAATGTCAACCTGAAATACACTCCTCAGCAGTATATTTTCAATATGCCTACTGAGATGTTTTTCTTCAAAATATAAATGGATATAATGATACACTGGAAACTTTTGAAGGATGAGGCTCAGAAAACACAAGGCATTGTTGAAAAAGTATCCTTGCTGGAATAAAATTACAGCAGTGAAATTAAAACATGTGCAGCTTTTAAATCAGATTGGAGCCATCCTGTCCTTTCTGCATTTGTCTCATTTCAGTTCAGTACTGGCTCTTCTCCTTCACCACCTGCTGTTCCTCTTTTTCACAGCAACTTCATGAGGAACCACCCAGTGTTGTCTCTTTTGATGTGTCTATTAAAGCACTTTTACACCTGATTCCTAAAAATACTATCTGCACTGGAAAAAAAAGAAGAGGGAACAAGAAATGTGTATCTTGAATCCACATTCCTATCTAGAATCCTACAGATTTAGAAGAGGATTTTCCATTTTAAATAAGGAAGGCACATATTGTCTTAAAATACGTTCATTTGTGCTTCAGGCTGGGTAGTTTGGGCTGTTGTGCCTTTGATCTGGATGCTTTAATTCAAGCAAAAGCAGATTCCCAGTGAATTGGGGGACGTGTGTGCGCGTTATAATGCAAAACACACAGCTGTGTGATGAGGCAGTGCCACACTACACCCCACAGGCGGAGCTTGTGTTGGACACAAACAGCACCACACAATTCTCCATTCTCTCTCACATTTGACCCCACACCTCTATGATTTAACAATATATTATTCATAGCTCAGAATTCAGATTTAGGTAGACCTATGATGACTGGCTGCAGGGAACATGAAAGCCTTGAGGACTGTCTATTCTGGTCTTGTTTGCATCATATATCATTTGCTCACCCTTTGAAAATGTCCAATAATTTCCATTTGATTACAGCCTACTGAGGATACCAAGTGCTACAACTCATTACATCTCATTGTAGGTTGTTACCCAAGGAAATCAAACTAGTGTTAGAAAGTGAGCACATTTCTTTAAAGGACAACTCCTCAAAGCTTCCACTTGCCATGATTTGGTAATTTTTATGCTTCATTCCCCTATATCAGAGACCAGCACCACCCAAAACTGATCAGTTAACTTCTGTTGTTATGTCACAGTTTAATATTCCCCTTATTTACGCTTGAATCTTTGAGCTTTAAAAACAAAACAGGCAATGTGGCAAGACAGGAAACCCAACAAAAGAGTAAAATTCTAGGAAGGGACTAGAAGGGACCTCTGGTTTATCAGGTCTAGTTGCCTACTATTCAGACACCACTTTGCATTTAATTTCTTTTATAGACAGAGTTGGCTCTTCCTTCAAAGCATGGCTCTGCCCAGAAGGCTGTTCCAGAATTAGGAACTTTGTTTCTTATCTAAATTTTATTTACAGAAAGTTTATACCCACTTGATTTTGCTTCAATACTCTCAGCTCCCAGAGCTTCTGCCCTGTGCCTGCCACTTGTACAAAAAAAGTATTCTGACTCAATGAACAAACTTACTGCTACAGATTGAAATAGGCTTACCCATGAAATTAAACTTACAGAGCATAGAGAAGATGAAATATTTAACTTTCCAGAGAAGGGAACACAGAAAAAAGAAAAAAGCTAGCCAGAAAGTGTTATTTGTTTAGTTGTCCAAAGAAGCATCTTCTCTCCTCATCCTGGATAAATGGGCTCATAGACATTGTAGTAATTTGTTACAGGGGAGACGTTCACAGTAATCCACTGTAATGCTCTACATGAAAAAACTGTACAAAATAAACAGCACAAGAAACAGAAGAAACTCCAGTGACCACTAAAACAAAGACCAAATTTCAATCTGTCTTGACAGAACTAAATACAATTTTAAAAGACATACCTTGAGTTTGGTACAACTGTGTCTCTTTCATGAAAGGAAACAACAAAAAAACCTTAAGCTTCTGAAATGGTCTTATGCATTTTGTATCTTTCTACTGATTCAACTTAGAAAACATTAAGAATTGAGCCAAAAAGGTAAATAAATAAGCCATCCAGCATTCCTTCACAAGCAACAGAAATCAAAGTACCATATGTACATTTTTCTCTCATGTCCAGAAGACAACCACATGCAAGACTATTACTGTAACAATAGAAAAGGTACACATTTCAAAGCATGAAATAATTCTCCATTTCCACTAGGTTTATTGAAACCTTCCAAGTTGGGTATCCATGGCTCACCAGACTAGGACAGCTGTCAAGTCAGCACTTGCAAAAAAGTATCCTGAATTTTAAAATCTACTTGTAAAGCCCCAAGCAAATACATTGACAGAAGTCAACAAGGTGAAAGAAATAATTATTTTCAGTTTCAGAATCCATCATTTTGCACCTAAGCAGATCCAACCTGATTGGCATTATTATCATGTAAATTTTCCATATTTAACACCTAATTTAGAACAGGCAAACAAGGGTGTAGAAAGCCTTCTAAGAGTTCATGAAATAAATATAGTTCAACAGGTATATGAAAGACATACTGTATATTATTTCTAGGTAGGCTGCATAATTTGTATTTTTACTGTGAGAATATAAAAACCAAACTGACCTCTACAAAATTATGATTTCACATAGAGAAAAACCACTTGCCCCTGTTTCTACTTACTAGTAGTTTAAAATGAACAGTAAATTGGTACAGAGAGACAAAAATATTCACATGGTAATGCAAAGAGTGGACAGCTTTTTAGTGCGTCCTCAGTCTGGGAGAGAAAAGCCGAATTAATCTGTCTTATGAAACATTTTCAAACCAGAGCAAACTGGCAGAGAAGCCTAAAAGGAAATAAAAAACCCTCTTTGACTGAAAGTTACCAAACTTCAAAGCAAAGTGAACTTTCAAAAAAAAAAACACCTTATCCAAGTACAACCAATTGAGGACGTTCCTCATACTGGTCAAAAAACATTCCATGTTTCTGTGGCTGAACTCCTGGTTCAGAGACCTACAGCTGAGATAGCAATGAAAAGAGTAGGCCAGAGCCAAGGTATCACAAACTGTCACAAGAAAACTTGGAAAGTATTTAAATAAAAAAAAAGTAATAAAAAAAAGTGAGCTGCTTTAGCTTTCTTAACATCTGAACCTACAATAAATAGCATCATTTTAGTGATAATATAAAAATATCTTGCAAGCTAAGTTACCTTTCAGACTAAACTCCATATATTCAGAATCATATGAGCAAGACTTAATTTTCTCAACTTATCTTATGGTTTTTTAAAGCATTTTCAAAGAAATTTGCTTATTTTTATACAGTTATGCTAAAACTTGTGAGGTCTGCATGCTTTTTAAGGACACATTTTGTCACCTAATAGAATATAAAAACACAGCAAAAACAGTGCAGAATTTTGTAAAAATACTTTAAATAAATTTACACTTCACTCTAAATTTACTCAATAATTAATCACTGGGTTCAACAGTCTAAGTCCTTTACTTCTGTTATCCTCATTGCACATCAAAACTAAAGCTGCTATTTCTGCCAAGACTCAAAGGAGTGGATCCTCAACTTCTGCTGGCCTAATGAGCAAACACCACTCCTTAGGCTGAATAATTTTGGGCTTCTGCAGAAAAAAAAAAAATAAAAATAAATAAATAAATAATAATAAAAAAATCCTGAACTCACCAGGAAGTTCTCACTACTAGTGAAACCCAAAGGCAAAACTTCAGAAGACTCATAAAAGTAAAGATCCTCAGCAAGGATCAGTACAGGCAGCTTTTCTGTGACTTGACAAACATAGCTCTGTTTTTATGACCATTTTTTTCTCAGCAGTACAGGCCATCGAAGTTATAGATCATTAGGTATGTATATTTTTTAATCGAAAAATAAAGGGCAACACTTACTGCATTTCAAACTAACAGATTTTTACTTCTGGAAACCCAAAAGCTTTCTATAAACGTCTTGATTTCTAATGCTGACAAAAAATAATTGTCTACTAAGACATTTTTCACATCTTTTGCAGCCTCAGGGAGTTTAAGTTACAGTACTGCAAGGCACATACAGAATCTCTTCCTTTCCAATACTCAGTAGATATAGTCCCTGAAATAATTTTAAAATCCTCAAAATGCTACAAAGTTAACAATTTCTATTTAAAAACATTGCTCCTACACAACATGCACTTTTTTTGGATAACAAGTTAGCAAATATTTATAAATTTTTTTCTTTTCATTTACACTGGAAATGGACTGAATAATTTTTAACCTGGAAAGTACTGTATCATGTCACATTTAAGTTATTGCCTTCATTACAAATTGCATCATCTCTGAAAATCCACAAAGGTATTGTATTTGAAAATAAGCAGTGGGTGAGAGATTACAGTGCAGTTTAGCCCATCTGAAAATGGGTTTCCACATAAAGCAATATTCTAAGAGTAAAAAATGAACTTTATGCATTCAGTGGATGAGGACAAGAGAAACTGATATTAAGTGCATTTTGTTCAGTTTAATGCAATGCCATTAGCACTTACTTAAAAAAATCTTAATTTTCTGGTTTTTGGGCAAGCACATCTTACTATGAAAGCAACTGAACTTTTAAGAGGTAGGTTTTTTTCCATTATGCGCTTATTTATTTCAAATAAAACATAACCAAAAAACCACCAATATTTGCTTTTGGATAAGGATCAAGTCTCAAAGCCTGGTACAATATCTGACAAAGTTCAATATTTTATTTGTCCTCAGCAGTACTAGACTGCTTTGGAACCAGTGTATTCCAGGTTGTCTTCATAGTCAAAAGACCAATCTACCGACGGTACTGAACCCACCCCCTCCACCTCCACCTGTGGGCCCACAACTTCCTGGGGGATCATTGTCATCAAATCCATTGGGTCGGAAAGAGCAAGAGGCTGAGGCAGCTTGAAGTGCTTGTGTTCGAGCACTAAGCTCTTGCTCCTGAAATGAAAGAATAAAGACAATTACAAAAAAAAACCCAACCCACAATATCATGCCCTTGAAATGGTTTTTAAAGCACCATCACTAATTTCCAGTGGACAGCTTTGCTGAACTTTCAAGTTGAGCATCCACAGGCAATTTAAGATGTACAATTTCACTGATTGTCAGTAAGCATAAGTGAAACAAAATTAAAACCATCAGAGTTCACACTAAAATTGTATTTTATAGCAACATGGGATGTCACTAAAAAATGAGACTGCTGATGAGAAGCTACCAAAACAGGTTTTAATGTATATTTCATATAAATTTTCATCCTAGCAATTTTCAGATGCTCTTGCTCTTGGTTACAAAGCTGAAAGGTAAAACCTTTAAATCAATGTTAATTACTTTAAATACACTTTTTCATTCCACTCAATCAACTGCACAGAGTAGCAATATACCCAGATAAAAGGCCAAAAGATGGAAAAGCTACCTAGTTTCTATTCACTGCAGCTTTTCAGCTTTCAAGTATTATTGCTATGCTAACTGTTTTGACTTAGTAAGTCTCTGCAACTCTCAAGCACTTCATAAAAATCAGAGTCAACCACAGGAAAATGTACCTACACAAGTGGAAGGAACATGAAAGCTCTGTCTTCTGCCAGCTGCTTTTTCAGCTGAATGCCCCTGAGACTTCTTAAGACATCTAAGAAGGGGATAAGCACAGGCTTTTCCCTCATTTAGACATACAATGCGCTATTTTGTCTCTGGACAACTAGTTCAATAAACCCTGCAGAAAATTTGTATCTTTTACCTTTCTAAAATTGTCCAAGAGCTTAAAAAACTGAGGGAGAGAACACATGCACTGGCTCTGGAAGGCTAACAGGAAAAGACAGTGGACCTGGCAATGAACTGAAATATTCCAGTGCTAAGGCTCACACTGATAGCTGCCTTTACATGACACTTCATCACCACAGACCTCCCTAAAGGCAATGGGAGCAAATTTTAGAACAGGATTTTAGTAAATACAGGGGTCACCTTCAATTCTTCCTGACTGTATTATACTGCCATGAAAGCACTAAACTGAAGTCTTGTCCAAATACTTTCACAGGTTCTAAAAGCAGTCCTTGTGAGTTTAAACTATTTTGCCCTCCTCAGAAATACAGCCTAAATTTGAAACTATTGTACATGACTAAGGACTGAAATGCATTTTCAAAATTATGGAAGATATTTGGAGGACACTGTCTACACAGATGCACTGGCTATAATCCTGAAGACAGCATTATGCTATCTCCAGCAATATGTGGACTCATAGGAATCTAGCTAGCTCTACAACACACCAAAAACTAAGTAAGTTTACAATGAATAACAACAAATATTAAAAACCCACTCGTAGTACCAGGAATCAGCTGCACATTTTGATCAAAATAGGAGACCTTCCATAAATAGCCTGTTTAGTTGAAAACTAAACACTACCAAACTGTTTAGCTTACAGCACTGGCATTTTTACAAACAATAGCTGTAGCAATGCATCTGAACACCTTGGACCATAGTATGCACCAGCCAAACTGTCTGTAGAGTTTCTTATCAGACCCTCTGGAATCTCTCAAGGTTGTTGAGACATAAGCTGTTCTAAAAGTAAGAAAGAAGAGGCTGAAAAACAAGAAAACAGGACCACAAGAGCCAGATAACAGAGGGTGGTTGAACACCTGGACTGTAACCAATCCTGTGCCCTGAGGGGTGTGTGCAGAATGCATGGACAGCATAGGGACACCAATGAAAAGATGTGTGATCCCGTGAACGGTAGTTTTAGAATGTATAAATAAGTGTGTAATGTAATCAATGAATGGCTTCTGTGAAATCGTGTTGGTTTGTTGTTCAGAGATCCTGAGCTCTTGCATGTTGATGACCCCAACATGACAAACAGTGCCGTGATATGAAGCAGACACCCAGACCCTTTGAACATGGAGAAGACTCTGGCAGATGAAAAGGCAGAAGGCCTGGTCACAGAGATTCACATGGCTGGACCGTGTTGGTGAGGGGTCGGTGGACAGCTCCACTCGGAGTGTGGGAAGGGAGGCTACCTGGGAGACAAGCTCTGGAAAACAGGCGTAGGCACTGCAGCGGTACATCGGAACAGGTGAGCGACCCATCAAATTTTAAATCAAAGGAATTTTCCAGAAGTTTCATATCAGTTCATTGGGGTAAAGTGGGACAGAAAGCTTTAAAGGGAGGAGATTTTGACATAGCAGAAGAACAGTTTATAGCCTTGCCAATACTCCAACACAATGAGCAGAAGGAAGATTGTGACAGCATGAACTCAGAAGTTCAAAATGCAGGATAAGCTACATTACATCTCTAGGAACACTCACACCTGAATCTCAAGAGGCTCTTGGTGGAGTGGCAGAAGCCTTTGAACAGAGACAAGCATGCCCTGGAAAAGATTCTTTGAATAGGTCTTTTTACCTTATAGATCCCCCAAAATCAATCTTTACAACGCCAGAGATGACAGCTCACATTATAATCAGAGCCAGAATGACACTGCTGACAATGGCAATCAAAGATTTTGTAGTGATCTACCCACCATTGAAAAAAAAGAATATTTTGATTGGGCATTGCAAAAATCAGATTTACAAGTTGCATTACTGAATTATTCAAGTGTTTGCTCTGTCCACTTTTAAGGCCATGAGTTGTTGCAAGAAAATGGAGCTTCAAAGAAAAGCCATATTAAGTGAAGTGCCTTTTGTGTTACTAGTATCAAAATGAGTTAGTATGTTTATGGATGTTGAATTTTAATTTTGCTATATTTAATTGCATGTAACTTAGTTTTGGTAAGATTAAGTAAAGCTAAGTTTCACTGTATTTAGGTCTGAGTGTTCTGAAGTTAGGTTTTATCACTTTGCTATTCTTCTGAGGTATTGTTATTGCCTTCTGTCAAAATTAATTTCTACCAGGTTTGAATATTGTTTAATTTAAATTGTCTCAGGTTTTGTTGAAGACACTTATCTAGACAGCAAAGTACAGTTATTTTCCCAGAGAGTTGAGGATGACTACAACTGAGACAACTGTGATGAAACACTTCTGCACACCTGCTTGTGGATGAAGGGGAATGCAGTCTGCTACACCTGATTTCATCAGATGTTCTATTATTTGTTACAATCTCTGCTGGTTTTGTTTTCTATAGATAACACAAAAGAATAGTGACTGTTAATACTAGGAAGTTCAGAAGTTTTTTACCTTGTTTCATTTTTTGTCATTGAGACATGAATGTTTTGAAAAATATTATCTCAGACCCTTATTGCTGATATTCATTGTATAATGTGAATTTATGGAATTTTTATGACGAGCATTATTTATAGGATGTTGTTGTATTTATAGCTGGCTTCTTGTATATTTTAACATCTCTTTGTGTAATTACTTTTAAGATGTGTCATTTGAGATCTTTTTGTTTTCTAACTGCAGATGCATCTCCTTAAACAAGCTGTACAGCTGTTCCTGAACAGGGTTTTTCTTGCTCTTTAGCTCCTTCCCTTGCTTAAGAAGGCTTGCTTTTGTCTATTTCAGTGTAACTTTATTGTTTTCCAGTGTTTCCAGACTTCCAGGAAAATGTATCATTGCTGAAAGTCAGTTACCCTGAGAGAAACTTCAGATTAAACCAACTGCTAGATAGTTCCATTGGTCTGTTGCCTAAGACTTCTGATCATTTGCTTTCCACAAAGGCACTTCAACCGTCTGCTGAGCTTTCAGCATCTCATAGCTTAATTATTAGTATTCTTAATATTAGTATTAATAATAGCTTTATTATTAAGAACTTTGTTTTGAAAATGAGTTAAGAGACATCTTTCCAGTTTAAAGCCAGGCCTGGCCAAGCCTTGACTTTACCTGGATGGAATGTTTGCCAACAGATCCAGATGTTTTGTGTACAAAATGAATATCTGAGTCACTTTTGGCTTGGCAATTTGACCCTATCAATATGACAGCTGGATCAATTTTAAAGTGGGTTTGGAGAATCATTTTCAGAGGTGGTTATCTAATCCTCCACTGATTTGAGGTTTATCAGCTGTTTGTCTGAGATGCTGGTGCCGTATTTAGCAGTTAATAATAATTCTATATCACATCTTACTAATAATGTTTAGTATCTAACTGATTTCTGACCGCTGTGGGTTTTTTGTTCATTGTGTGCAGGTTTCATTTTGATATTTTTCATGTGTATGATAAAAAAGGTACATTTCAATTAAAAAAAAAAAAAAAGCTAAACAACAGCAAAAGGAATTGATTCCTTAAGAACATTCAATTAATGGAATACATACATCAGGAATTTAGATCACAATTCATTTTTGAATAATGAAATATTTACATCAAAAATTTAGAAAACATTACAAAATCTGAACTCCCTATTAAGTGTACCATAGCTAACCCTGAATGATTCAGTAACTTGGAGGAGATATGCCTATGTCTTGTTGGCAGGTTCAAGGTGGTCTCCTGTTCTTTTGACCAGACACTGACTGCCTCTAAAAACATGAGACCTGGTGAGAGGAGAAATCACCATACAGCCTTAGTACTCAAAACAAGACCAGAAGTGGAACTGCCAGGACACAGTTATGTCTGAAAACTACACAGACAGTTTACCAACAGAAGTTTTATGTAATCATAATAATATTGTGTCTCTACTAATTTTCTTCAGTTATTCCCTGTTTCAGGATCTGAAAGAATATTTAGTAATGTTAAGGATCAACATTTTCAGCTGATGGACTTTCACCTGCTTAAGCAACACACCTGGAGTCTCAACTTTTGGACCTCAAAAACAATCATGTTTTCACTTTCCTAGAGGACACTGGACATTATTTTTGTTCCAATTGCAAAGCTGTGAAACGTGGTCTTCATATCAATGTGAAAAGTGTAAAAAATAGGAATATGGTAGTGCTCTTTTGGCAAGTGTGGTGCAGTTCGTGTTAAAAAGAAGGCATGTATAAAAGAATTAAAAGATGTTCAAATTTTAAAAACTGAGTGTGCACAAAGTATTTTTGTGCTTTCATCACTGAGTGACGTTCAAACAAGATTAGAAAAAAAAAAAAGCTGAAAATTTTGCTTGAAAATTAAAATTTGAGAAAATAACCTTTTGCCAAAGCATAACCTTAGAGAAATACAGAGTTCAATCAAATGTTAAGTTTGAATTTTGCTTTGTTTGGCTGGTTTGCTATTACTAGTGTAGTTTTGCCAGCTAGGCAGCCTAGAACCAATGGCTGGGTGACTTTAGATAATGCTGTAGGTTTAGATACCATTTGCTTGTCCATTACCACTCCAGAAAATCCATTTTCAACTTGTTTAGTCAGTGTACCAGTAGAAATTTGGCCAATACTCAAGAAATTGATAGGGCAACACATGGTGCTTTTCCTAGGACAAATGTGTAGAAATTTTAGATTCCAGTAAATACATAGGAACGGTAGACTACCTTCCTGAAGCATAACACAGATATTACAGGTAACTCTATAAGACAAGCTATTGTTGAAAGGACACATCAGGTACTGAAAGGACTGCTTGATAAACAAAAAATGGGAGGATGGGATGGGCTGAGCCCACAGGATGGAGTGCTGAAAGCAATTTAACCACTGGCACAAGGTAACCAGAGGTGATACAAAATTAAACATGTGCAAAAGGTTGGTGATTAGGCCAAATGATGAGGGAGCTCATGGTTTTGCCTTCTTGCAGGAGCTGGTCTTTTCACACTGGTCAGCTTTGGAAGTCAGAATACTGAGTGCTTCTCTAGGTCAGGCTAGTACTGATTTAGGTGTAGAGTAGAGCCAGGCTGGTTTGGTGTAGAGTTTAGATTGATTTCTTCTCATGATGGGCTGGGATGCTAGATGGTCAGACAATTACACATAACTTCAGCTGTCTTAAATCCAATACTCACTGAGGTAGGTAGTATTGGACACAACACACTGCAAAATAGAGCTTCTATAAAATTTTTCTGCTAGCACATGGGGCATGGGTATAAGGATTTTGAAGGAATGTGTTGTATGACCCTCTTCTCTAAGGAAATTTGCTATTACAATTAGTCATAATTATATTGTTTTGTGTTATTCCATGCATCATAAAACTGGTGACCTACTTGGTAGAAAACACAGTAAAGAGAGTTTGTCTGGTGCAAGAAAAAAAAGGGGAGAAATGTAACAATGCATCTGAACAGCTTGGGCTATAGAATGCACCAGCCAAACTGTCTGTAGAGTTTCTTATCAGACCCTCTGGAATCTCTCAAGGTTGTTGAGACATAAGCTGTTCTAAAAGTAAGAAAGAAGAGGCTGAAAAACAAGAAAACAGGACCACAAGAGCCAGATAACAGAGGGTGGTTGAACACCTGGACTGTAACCAATCCTGTGCCCTGAGGGGTGTGTGCAGAGTGCATGGACAGGATAGGGGCACCAATGAAAAGATGTGTGATCCCGTGAACGGTAGTTTTAGAATGTATAAATAAGTGTGTAATGTAATCAATAAATGGCTTCTGTGAAATCGTGTTTGTTCATTGTTCAGAGATCCTGAGCTCCTGCAAATAGCCTTAGTTCTAAAAATGCTGAATGTTTTATGATTGTTGTATTTATTATATTTATCCTAACAAATACTATATTAGGTAAGTAAAACTTGATAGTCAATATAGTTCTTGGACTCAGAATAATGCAGAGCATCACCCCTTGCTTTGCACATGCTCCCAGAAAGGGTTTTTAAATTAGTTTTAAATGGAGTGGATCTACCCATATTGCAGGTTTCGTTATTTATACTGGAAACATCTTTGTTTACCATGTGGTGAACTGATATGCAATAGCAAAACCAAAGCAGTAACATACAGAATTTTTTTTAACGTCTTCTAAAAATTAAAGGCTTTCTCAAGACAGAAAAATATATTCTTAACTTAGCTGGAAAACATTAGTTTAGAACTCTGAACCAACAGTGAAATATGGCATTTTAAAATTACAATAATCTAATTCAGTGAATCATAGTATTAGCATTAATTTGAGAAAAACAGTAACTGAGCACTTCTAATGAGCCTCAATTAAGATGAGCAAAGTTCAGGAGCCCAGAAACTCTGAGATTAATAAAACACTACAGAGAAAGCCAATACTGAAGAATTCAAAAGTGAAAGGTAGATAATGATCTACCAAAAATAAACCAAGAAAGACCCTAGAAAACAAACAAAAATAACATGCTTGGAAAATATTTTTCATTTTGCGACAATTATAATTTAAAAAGGAAAAAATACTCCAAACAGGGCAAAGATTTAAATGATGGTAATGGTTTTAAACTAAATGAGGGTAGAGTTATACCGGATAAAAGGAATGAACTTTTTATGAGGGTGGTGAAGCACTGGGTTTTGCCCAAAGAGATGGTAAATGCCCCAGTCACTGGAAACATTCAGAGCCAGGCAGGATGGGATTTTGAATAACCTGGTCTAGTTGAAGATGTCCCTGCTCATGGAAGGGGCTGGACTAGATGGCCTTTTAAGGCCCCTTCCGACCCAAGCTGTTCTGTGTTCCTGCAATCAGAGATTGCTGCTACAGAAGCCAAGAGAAAGTCAAGACATAGTACATAAGCAAAGACAGATAGGACATAAATGCTTTAACCACACAGCTTGAAAATAGAAACAGAGTTATAATTTAAGCTCTCAGTTTTCCTGTTCATGTTTGTAAAATACCTGCAGCAGATTTTCCAGTGAGATTTAGCTCATTTTTAGTAAGTTAAATTTACCTAGCTCTTCTAATTTGAGTTGGCCTATAACCCTTACAGGACCAGTTTAACCCATCAAAGAGCACACACTAAAATATACTTTAACTCCTAGAACATCCAAAAATAGCAATGCTCTAAGAAGAACATATTGAAGTGTGGAGAACACTGTTTTGTTTTTTTTAACAGCAAACAAAAAGGCTGCCACAGCTAGGTGAAGTTCTCAGACCACAAGGAGCATGCTGCTGGCAGTGCTGGTCCCACAGAGGATACAGCTTGGGCGGCAAAAGGAAAATGGAATCCAGTCACCCACATCTGGTCATGCATTTGGGTAAGCACAGTTTTGTAAGTAAAACTTCACTCCAAATGAAAATGCCATACTAAGAACACCACTTAGAAGTTTTTAAGTAAACTTAAGCCACTCTTGTAGTTTAGGAAAGGCAATGAAAGTTTGAACTGCTTGAAGTCTCTCCCATCTGGAATTACAAGTGGTTAAATTACCTGTATCATTTAACCATATATATATATGTGGAGATGATATAGTATCTCTACTCAAAGTTTAAACTGAAATGAGTTTATGCCATTTTTCTTGACATTTCCAATCTAACAGTGACAACCTTACTATAAAACCTGTCCAGCAAGACCAAAATGAAGCCAAACTGGTGATTTATAAGATTAATATAGCAGAATACTTAAAAGCTTTATTGATCTTTCTTTTAGACTGCCTCTTGTGAGACAGTCTCTTAAGGAGTCACCCTTTACACAAAATTTCCATCTTACCTGCAAGTACAGTTTGTTATCTTTTGTAATTGCATCCATGAGGTCTTTTTGTAGAGGAGGATCTCCATTTACCCAGAGGCCATTCGCTGGATTGGTGTTGAAGCCACAGGTGCTGTTCTGCTTTTTGTAAAAAAGAACATAAGCAGTGTCCTTTGGAAATCTACTGGTGATTTTCTGGACTGACTGAAATGAGGTAAATGTCACTCTGCTGTCATTGAACAGAAACCATTCTCTTGGCATCTCAGTGTCCAGCTCATTTTCTACAACAGTACAAGGACTCTCCTCCGTAAACAACTTCTCCTGAGGAGAAACTAAAGAAAGAGCTGTAGACTGGTGGCAGAGCCCTGAAGGCCCTGATCCAGTAACATTCCGAGCATATGAATAATAATGTCCACTTTCAGAGGATACACCAGAATGCACCACCACAGAGCTTAACACATAGGGCACCAATTGTGGGCAGGTCACTTCATCAGCACCTGAGGGCTTCAGTTTTTTAGCAAGGTTTTCTCCAGTATCAGAAATCTCCAGATCAACAGACCAGTCTCCTGAAACAACAGCTAAAGGGGATGTTGCTCTTTTCACTGGCAGTTCCAATACAAGTGGTAGAGAAACATTGTCCAAGATTTTGCGTCTTATGTGACACTTTGGATCATATGAAAATCTCAAAAGAGTGAGAATGAGGTATTCAGGTTCCTCAATGATTTGCATAGTTTTTTCAGCATTCTGTAGAGAGGCACACTTTTCACAATAATACTTATTGTCTCCACTAAGGATCTCAGGTGCCAGAAAATAATTGAGTAAGTCTGTAACTGACAGGGTATTTTTACCTACCAGACTCTGAGACATATCCCCATTATTTTCAACTTTGAGTTCAGAAATTGTGGTATTCTCAGAGCTTGACTCACTAGAAAAATCTTCTATAGCTCCTTCATTCATTATTGTGTCACATCCACGATTTACTTGCAGATTAGTGAGAGTTGTTTCTGCAGCAGGACTGGTTGCTAAAGTGTTACTTTGCACCATGTAGTCATCTTTCACTTCAGAATGTTCCATGCATTTTGGGTCAACATTCTCTACCGAAGTGGGAGGACAGAAAGCCAAAGAGAGATCTGTGAAAGCTTCTTCCTTTTGAGACATGCTTTTGCAGTTCAAACAGCATATGTTAGTCTTCAATTTTCCTCCAAACATCTTCTCTATCAGAGTTCTTTCTTCACTTCCCACACAAGGTGCTTCAGTAAATACTTGTGTTTTATGGACAGCTTCTTGTGCCTGGGACTCATCAGTCATTATACTTTCAGAACTCTTGGCAGAAGACAATGCTTTCAAAGTTCTCTCTTCTTCATGCAACCTGAAGACAAAGAAAAATAAATCCAAGTAACTGTGCTATTTTTCAAATATTGTCATATTATTTTTTCCAGATAAAAAATAAAGATTATTAAGTTGCTAGAAGTGTCTTACACTAAAAAATCTGTTAGTTTTTATACAAGGAAGCTGAACCATAGGGGTCTGTACTATCCAAAACAGAGTACAAGAGGCACAAATGCATTTATTGTGGGTCTCATTATATATAACAGAATACAATGGATATATTGAAAGAACTGGCAAGCATTAAAAATCCTAACAATGTTTTTATTATTTACCATTACATTATGTTAATAAATCAGCTCTTGAGTTGACTAGCCCTGTTGACTAGCTTTTTTGTAAGAGAAAAAGTAACTATTTGACTACTGCCAGACTATTTCCAAAGAAAAAGTCAGAATTCTGCAGCCAGGAAAGTTATGAAACTACAGCAAGAAAATCCAAATCAAAAGAGAAACCCAAGACACGGGGAAAAAAATAAGAGAACACTATTTCATTATTGAAATAAATTTCTCCAGAAGCAGAATGTCGTAAAGTAATACTACTTAAGCCCCATCTCAGCAAGCCAAAAATAAAGAGGGTTATTAACAAATTTAGGTATTACTGATTTATCTCTGCCACAGTTTATCTGCTTGCTTAATTAACTCGTTATAAAGACATGTACATCTCTTTGTGACTTATGCGCCTTGTATGAAATACAGCTGTCTTCACCAACATGAAATTCTAGAAGCACAACTAAACTGCTTTCAGCAACCACATTAATTTAACAATAGGACCACGACTTGAACATAATACCCATGTTTAGATTTATAAAAGTGGCACATTGTTACCACCATAATCTGTTTCAAATTATGTGGATTCAAGATGGCATCCAGACTTCACCACAGACTAAACCCATGAAGAAAAGTAGTTCATACACCATACAGAAAACCAGAGAAAGACAGGAATGAGGTTAAAAACTCCTGATCCCCACTCATGCAGTGGAACTGTTACATTAATGCTTCTAAGAGTTCAACATTAGGTGGTAAGGCTGTAGATTCATTCCCATTAATGGCACCATAACTATACCTGTCTAGCAGGAATCTGAGATATTCCGAGCAATCCTGCTGGGATCGAGGGGTGAACCATGGTGGTCTGGAAGCTTCAAAGAAAATTCTAGGAGCATATGCCTCCCTCTGTTCAAGTGAGATGACAGGCAAGGTTACATAGGAACTACTTAAAATATTGGTTATATTATTTTAATATTAAGAGCTGAACTTTGGACTACATTATCCCAGAGCAGCTGAATGAAACACATGGTACATAAACATTTAAACAACTTAATCATACAAAAGGAAAGCCATTAATTTTGTAGCAATCACCTCCAGTACAAAGATAAAAATAGTTTATCCAGCTGGCAAATACCAATGTTTAGTGAGTGCAAGCCAGGTATTATGCATAATAGCAGCTACTCTTCTTGCTGGTGAGTTTAAAAACATGTTGGCTTTCATCAGAACACCAGTACTTTATAAGTACACATTTATTTTGAAGCTAATCCAGCCTCATCCCCTTCACAAGTTTATTGCTATTATTCATAGAGAACAGAAGTATCTTGTGCCTTTCCAGCCTTTCCAGCATTAGCAAAATGTTTTGAGCAGATAATAATGCTCACATTATTTATAGAATTTGAACTAAAATTAAATTTAGTGTATGAATCACTGAGGAAGGTCACAGTTTACCCTAGAAAGATACATAAAATCAGCTTGTATATACCAACTCAGGTCTTCTTTGGATTTTCTCATTCTTACTTCACAAAGAAAATCTATCACTGCATATTCATAAGAACAGCAAAATGTCAGCATCTTCCACTTCAGAGGAATGTGTATTTCTTAAGTCCATTCATACCATCTGAACATTTGAAGGCAGACTTTCCCATACAAAACTATACTTTATATACTCAAGAGGACTCCCATGGCATCATGTTTGTTTCTCAATTTTGGTATATAGCTCTAGGCTTAAAAAAAAGCAGATGGAAAACTGACATACCTGGGTATGGGCCAAAAATGCAAAAAGATGCTGTAATTTTCTCATTAGGGAATTACAGCCATTTAGATTCAGAGATAAAACATGTCTTCTGAAACTGAAATGAAATGAGAGGCATCAGTTTCCTTGTTAGACTTCTAACAATGCAGTTATCATTCCAGCTCAGATAATTACTTCAAATTGAAAGAAAGCAAAACATGTAAAAACTTTCCTTTAATACCAGAACTCTGCTCTAGTACATATATAAAATTACAGTACAGTAAGAATAAACACTGCAAAATACCCATGTCTTTAAACATTTAAATGTATAGGAAGAGGATAAAGACAGATTTTTTTAATACCCTTCCAGATTATTATAAAGGCATCCCCAAAAATTTTTACAATACAGCAGTGAGCAAGGACAGTGACGAAAAAAGGACTTGTCTTTTTACACTGGCAGAAGGATCAGGATTTTCAGTGGCTAAAACTGCAGTTTCCAGAGCTGAACTTGAACAAAGCAATCAGTAACTGAGTGCAAAAAAACTTACTCGGCTCTAGCAAGCTAAGAGACCCCCGGGACCACTGGGGTTTCTATACTGTGAAAATCAAGAACGCAGTAACTGCAAGAATCATTTGCAATGAATAGAGCTGTTAAGAAGCACTTACTCTGTAGCCATAAAAAGTGCCTGAATAACACTGTTCATGTAGCAAGTATTTCCTAGATTTATTAGGCCTGTCTTCCCAGTTTCAGATTTTCCAGAAAGTCTAGATAAACAAGATGGCAAAGAACTGGACTGAGAAGTCCAGGCGCTCTGACTGAGGATCAACTTAATCTTCTCTTCAGTGGGTTTGGGCATATCCTACAAGAGAAACATTTAACACACTTAATAGGTTTTTTTTTTTATTTGCTTCTATAACAGGTCCTGCCATTCAGCAGTATTGTATTTTCCCCCACTCTCAAATTCTCTTTCAAGGTCTTACTGCTGTCCCTGATAGCCTAGGAGATAAAGCATACCCCTTGCCCTTGTTCTCTTCCCTCTACCCAACCTTCTCCTTCAAAGCTTTTTATTTATTTTATTTCAAACATGGGATTGACACGAAGTTATGTGGTTAGCTCTTTCCTTCACATGGAAGCTTTAAAGAATTAGGATGTGTGGAACTACAGCTTCACATCTGGGAAAACAAAAAACCATTCCATGCTCTTAACATTCCTAATGTACCTTAATAGCTTCCAGAATGGGTTCATAGAGCTCTGGAAATCCTGAATAATGATACATCATACAGTGTATCAACTCAGTCAACTGCATCAAAAAGGCTGTACTGGAAGGCAGGCCATCTCTTTTGAAGGAGTGAACCAAACTGACCACGTGTGGGACAATCTGAATGGGAAAACAAAGAAACAAACAAAAAGGTGTTAACTGCATTTTCTCATTGTTTTTTCTTCTACAAAATACTTCATTGAACTTCATTGGTTTATACATGCCAAATGACAGGGCATTTGCCATTTGCAAATTTGTTATTAAATTAAGAAGTGATTGAGAAACGACTCAAAAAACATACGTTATTCTTTATACATTACAATTTTCAAGCAGCACAATTAATTATTCATTGCTCTCTTTAGCTCACATAGCAAGTTTTAAAAGGAACTTTATGAACTTAGAAAGTGCATACTAAGGTTTTAACTAGTCAAGTGACCAAAAGTACACCTTTTAAGAAGGATATTGACTGCAAACATTTTGCTTTTGTGCCACCACTAAGTGCTATCTTGTTCTGATTTCAGAGATGGTTTTTAAAACAAACCTCTCAATTTTCCTCTAACAGAATCTAATGCTTGGAGTTACAAGCCAATGAATACATTCCCGCTATTCCTATAAGGAGGAAACTGGTCCATAGCTCCACCTAGTGAGGCAGCTCAGTTCCATAAACCACGACCATGTCATTTACTGTGAGCTGAAAATTTACCACAACTATGGTAGTGTATTTGAGACTAGTTCAGAGTCAGGACTATTTTAAATTGGGTCAGATTAGAATCAGAAATGCTTACTTCATCTCCTTCCTCTTCTTCAGTACAGCTCACTACTTTTAAATGCATGAGACATTACCCATAAGATATCAAGTAGAAATTTACTTCAAGGCAATTTACAAAGAACACGGATTTCTCACTCTGAACCAAAGTATTTCAGGCACCTTTACCAGTTTCAAAGTGATCAAAACTGATTAACTGAGAAAGAAATTGATAGAATAATTTCTCTTCATTAATTACTACCAAACAATTTGAAAGCTAAAGGCATGAAATACAGAACAGGAATTATAAGAACATAGGAATCTGAGGAAGGTATACCAATTACAAGAACTGGTATAGTTCAAAACACTGAAGTAAAAGGGGCTAGGTACAAAATACTGATTTGCCATTCTTTCAAATATTGGTTATTCTCTGATTATAAAAAATATCTTTACATCTCTGCTAAATAAACTCTACTCTTTAGGTAAGCAAGATATCTACTGTTCAAAAACACAAAGATGAAGTGTTCACTGTACCACAAGTCAATAGTGAAAGTTATTGCAATGAAAAAATTGTCTTCCACTTTATAAATAGCAATAAGAAAGCAACTACTGATCTCTGAGAAGGAGATTTGCAGTGAGTAGATTTGAGATATGATAATTCTGCATAGACAAAGCACATGGGAAGAATAGAAAATGTACAGGTTCTCAATTCGGTCAAAGAGAGTCAAATTCTGCAGGCTCGGTAATACTGAAAGTTACATTTTGAATACACACAGAATTATCTCTTCTGGCTTGAGGTTGCATTAAACTTTTATACCAGTATCAGTACATTTTTGATGATCATAAATTCTACATCATAAGTAGAAGACTGCTTCCACTATAAAAATATTTATGCTAATGATGCTCAAGTGTATGGAGATGGAATGTAGTTTCAGATGCATTACCAAGTAAATTAATTTCTATTTATCAAATGTGCATTTGACCCTTTCATAATCAGACCATTTATTATTAAATAAGTAAACAACCACTTAAAGTGAAAGAAGATATTACAGAATATTAAATGGCAATAGCACAAAAAATGATAGTGAAGGAAATTGTTTAAAATGGAGCAAAAATGGTCACAAATTCTTGCAGGGAGGTATTTATGCAGTACAGCAGTTTCCAATAGAAATTTCCTCTGTTAAAACGAAGTCCTCTTTCTAGAATAAGCTATCTCATATTTTTTCTAATGTTTTGTCTCTCAGGAAAAAAGAAGAAAAGCAAGACAGTAAAGATATGAAATATTTATGTTTTGAGCATATTCAAAGCTTTCAATTGTCACTCAAATTTCTATCCTAAGACAAGATCAGGGCAGTGGAGAAACTTCAGATATCTCTCGTTAAAAAGCAATGTAACAAGTATAAGGCAATTACTCCGACATCAAGGGTTTGATATCCCTTCAGAGCCCTGGGGACAGCTTAGAAACAACGTGCCAGACTGTTACTATTAAACAGACATTTCTCCTAAACTTTAAGCTGAAGACCAAGTGTGGGAACACTTTGGTGTATTAATACAAACAGTCGCTGTCATGCCCTCCTATCTACAGCCTTAACTAATTAAATGCATTTTGAAGATGGGTCATTAAAACGGTGACCTTTAATTTGTACATGAACACTGACACAGACAGCACAGCTTTCTGGAAGCAAAGTACTTCTTGGTTTCATGAGCTTATTCAGGGTGACCTGGTTACATAGAGTAGATTCTCTGTTATCTGTTTTCCCCAAACAGCTGTCCTCAAAAACCTACTTGCCACCCAACTTTAACAGCCATTTTCACACATATAAAATGGATTTTCAGAAGCATGCAGTCAAAATATGGTGCCCAGACACTCCTGCCAGAAATAGGTACATACAAGGGAGGACAATACTTGCTTCCAGTTTGTGGAAGTGGTTGAATCTGGAAGCTCAAAAGCCTTCCTGTGACCACAGGAACCTGATTCTAGGACCTTCCAACAGACAAAATCCAAGCCCATCAATTCTGTTGTGCTACACCCATTTCAGAAATCACACAGGGAGCGACATTTCAAAGCACTGAAAAACAGTTATTTAGTAACTCACCAAATGAAAAGCTTCTGGAGAATGCTGGAAACTAAGTAACATGTGGGAAAGGACAGCAAGGGCACCAGGCCTCACTAGAGGAAACCAAAGTCGATTAAAGACCTGAAAAAACCCACATTTATTTTAGTGAATCTGCAAAGTAAAATTTCAGTAAACACAAACCTAAATCTTCAAACACACAACCATTTGAAACAGACAAAATCATTACATGGAAGTGACAGCTATAAATGCATTTACATCATATTTGCAGAGTAAGAAGATACTGTTTGCTACAATAAAAAAGATGCTACACAATTGCATAGCTGGTAGCAATTCCTTTCCCTCTCCCTCAGTTTTGAATGCTCTTTTCCAACACACCAATTCAATCTTAAGCAGAGTGACATCAATGAGGATGGTAAATTTCTGGACTGCAGCCAATCCTTTCAGCAGTGCAATCACCCATGTTTCCACGTGCTGAGCCAGAGGCCAGGATAGCCAGTCAATCATTCTGCAAGGCAATAGGAGAGCAAAAAATATAAAAAACCCAATATGCCACTAACTTTAAATTCAACAAAAAAGATACTTTATATTACCTTTCTACATGCTTATACAATAAGACTCAAAATAAGTAATGTAGGAATGTTAGGCAAGTGGTTAATTATATCTCAAGTCATTTAACTCTGAAATTAATAATGGTTTATTTAATACATTCAAAGCAAATACACATCCCCAAAAATACATAAGCATAAAAAAGTCAGTATTTTGTATTTTTTCTTGTTAGTCTAGAAAATGCACCCTGATTTTATAGACATTGAGCTAACATCTGACCAAAAATTTACTGCTGAAAAAGTGCCTGTACCTGGTAACCTCCCCTCCAACATCTTTAACCCAAAGCAGACCAAAACTGACTACTAAGGAAGCCTCTTCAACTTACAACTACAACCCTGGAAGCCAACTCAAACACTCTAAATTAATGGTAAAATCTAGTAATTTTAAATACATTGGACAGTCTGGGGTCTACATACATCTCAAAAGGGAGAATTTCACTTGAGCTAAGAAAAAAGTGAAGGGACCTCCTGTGCCTAGAAAATAGTGAAATACCAGGAACAGAAAACAAAGATATTCTATCCTTTTAAATTAGTAGTGAACTTTCACTGATCCTTAAGGCAGACAAGCAGATGAGTTGAAGCAATTTAAGAGACACACAATATTGAAAAGAAGTGCCAGCTAAAACATGAAATCTAGGCTTTGTTCTTCTGAGACTTTACTTGGCAATATTTTGAATTTTCTTTAACTGTCCACAAGATTCCCTTCTTCAAACTAGATGAGGCAGCACTAATTAGGTGGAAGGAAAAACTTTCTACCACAAGAATGGACAGATATTGAGACAAGTTACAAGTATATATCTTAGAATTATGTACAATCTGCACACATAAAATTCAAAGGTTTCTCTAAAATAAGGGATCTTTAGAACTGCCTTTTTAAGAAACAAGCACAAATCTTGCTAAGTTTCTTCCATATTACTACAAAAAAAAAATTGGAAAAGATATGGCAACATCATAATCACTGCTCTGAATTTATACAAAGCTCTCATTTCCTCAAGATGTTAAATTCAAACATGTTTATCCTGAGCAACCTTTCCATATATCTTCAAAAACAGAGAATCAAAAACACAGGCTCAAACTGTTTTTGTCGGCAAAGAAATAACCTTAACCTAAAAAAAGACCCCTCAACTCACATGCTAATCATCTTCAAATCTTCCCCTTCATGATTTGTAGGCTTGATACTTTTCAGCAGTGTCAGAAACATCTGCACAGATAATTTAAGCCTAATGACAATATATTTTGTTTTCTGAACTGTTTAGGCAAGTATTCTCTAGAGCCCTACACTATTCTAAAACATCTGACTGTTAATCTGAGAGTTAATGATGTTGAGAGCAGAAACAAAAGCCAGAAGAAGAGACAGAAGTGCACTTGCAGACCTGCTTGAGACTGTCCCAAAAAGCATCAAATCTTAGATCTGGTAGATGAAGATCAGGTATTTTGGTTGCATTTACTTGGCTTCATCTCTGTGGCAATCAACAACAGCACTTTTAATGCAAAGGCAGATACTAATATGGGCCATGATGACCATGAATATAAACAGAGGATTCTTCTTTGGGTTTGACTAGATTAAAATTACCTTAAAAGCCTTGAGGACCTTCTGCCTCATATCACCCTAAAATCAGCAGGTCTTTTACCCATGTATGTGCCTAGTAAGTAAAGTACTTTTGATATCTTTGAATAGAAAAAAAATTTTGCAACCTCCGACAGCAATGTCTTTCACAAAATATCTTCTTCACGACATCAAAGAATCTGGCAGCTCAGGTGTGAATCCCTCAGATTAGAAAAAAAAACCCCAAAATAGAAACAGAAGATCCTCAGACTACCTGGCACTCCCAACAAATTACAAGCCTTTTATAGTATTTTACATTTTTTTCCAATAGGACAGAGGACCTAGTTGTATCTGGAGTTTTTCTTAGCAACATTTTCTGTTTCACTTAAAGATACTCGGGTTGAAGTGCAAAGTGGCATTATACTTGTTGGGATCCTGAGTACAGCCAGTCCATTTCCTCCCAGAGTTCTGAAGTAGACTCAAAGTAGCCATACATCCTCAAAGAGATTCAACAATTTTCTGCTTTTCCTCACTGATGCTTTGGGTAAGGTTTCATGAGACAGCTGAGTCAATCAAAAACAGCTAAAGCCAAAAGCCAAGTACCCTTGTAACATGATCTTGTGTCTAATGTATCTCTCTGAACAAACTCAATATATGAGTCTGTTAAATATAAATTATTTACTACTCTGTGTTCAACTTCAGAAACTCTGTAGTGCCACAGAAGTTATACTTAGGAAGTGAGCAACAAGGTCTCTAATTTACAGTCACCAAAGCTCTGCTGACTCTCATCAGACCTTGTTGTGCCTGGAGTTCTGCATCTCCTGGGAGTGCTACAAGCCTGATGACAGTATTGTCATTTGGTGCTCCAGACATTCCAGCTGCATTAACCTCTTAACAATTGCTCCACTAAGCCAGAAGACAGTAGTAACTGCAAACGGTTACTGGAGGTAGAAAAAGAAACTGGATGCAGTGTTGACATGAGAGTAACCAGAAACAAAACCAACAAGGTTCCATGGAAAAAACTAGAGGCTCTTAAGAGAGAGTATTACCTTAAAGAATGAACTAAACAAGTAAGATTGCCCTTCCCTTCCAAAAACAAGAGAAAAACTCACCCACTACATGGGTGATATCAAAAAATAGAGCACTTAATTGATAATAACAGCTTCTACTGTAACCAAAGCTCAGCATTGCATTACTTCTCTAAGCAGAGGCACATAGAGAAGCTGTTCTCAAGCTGCAGTTACATGATCATACTGTTTTGATGCAAAAATGCAACATAAATGTTAAAACTACACTAACTTGAAAATTAATCACTAGCACATTACTGGAAAATTATCCACATGACCAAATCCTGAATTTCCCAGCTCTGACTATTAGATTGGGCACACAGCTTTGCTGAAATCTCTTCAATCAATGATATTATTTTTAAGTCCCTAAACAGTATGTCTTACCCCAAATTGTATTACTAATGCTGCTTCTTTTCATTATGTTTTTGACTGAAATACAGCTTCTGAACTTACTGTAAACACAAGGAATTTTTTCTGTGTGAGAAATTATCCCCTCAGTATTCCACCAAGACATTCAAGTGCTGCACTACATGAATGTTAAGTATTACACTACATTCAAATGGATGTACTTAAAAGTATTGCAGACACCGAACTTTTAGCTTAAGGCTTCTTAAGAGTTATTTTTTTAAGCAATACAAGTTTGTAATAGTACCATGTTTAACTGCATTACCCATTTTCCTACCCTTCAGTGATCAATTAACAGCTTCTTCAGTAGGGTTTAAAAAAAAACCCAAACAACTTCAAGATCTTCATCTTTCTATCACTGTCATCTTTCTGCATCACTATTATTCACATATCTGAAGATACTAATCAAGATTGAAATCTGATGCCCAGACTGTTTACACTGCTACTCATCTCCGCCACATTTACTCAAGGTTAGATTAGTGACAAACATAACATGCAATTGCTTTTGCATCATTCCTATTCCTGTATCAAAGAACATCAAAAAAACCTACGAAGGCTTGAGTGAAAAGGGTAATAGAAGCTGTTCTCTGTGAATCCTATTAAAAAAATCGTGAAGATACCTAAGCAGAAAAAAACCCTCAAAACTAACCACAAAAACTCATTTTGAAGTGTCTCCTCTCTTCAGAGCAGGAGAGGATGGCTAATACCACAACATAAAATGTGACCCTGCTTCTTGGAAAAGCAGAAAGATTCATCTTCTGAAAACAAAGCTCTGTTTCTCAGCTTGACTTCATAAACCCTATGAAGCATGACTTGGAATACCATCTTAAAAGTTCCTCCTTTTCACGCTTTTATTTGGTTTTTTTAATGGAACCTACGTAACAAATAACTTCAAGAAAGGCAAGATTAAGAAAAAGACTCTTCTCTCCCTTGACAACGAAATACATTACCTGCACAGAGCTTGAGTCATACTTGCATCTTTCACATTAGGATCTGTAGTAAGGCTCCTGATGAGTACTGTAATCATCTGCAATGGTATGTGCTGCACAAGACTTGCCAGTGCAACAGAAGGTTCGAACGAAGTATCTGTAACAATTGAATGTGACATAATACAAGGAACTACAAAGAAAACCCCACAGAAAAAAGTAAGCTTTATGTTCTACCCTACAACTGCAACATAGTTTAAAAGTGACAATAAATCTATCCTACATCTTGCATTCTATTATCACAAACCAAACCAAAATTAAAACATATCAATGAATTAACAACAATGAACAGCAGTGAACTACAAACTCCTTTAGTTTATTTCATACCCATGCAAGAAAGTGACAATGTCCCACCTTCCTCCTTCTCCTTCCTAAGTGGAATTGAGAAGCAGGTTATGTATTTATCCAAATAGAAGTACCACAAGTTATTTATTATATTTCATGTTAAACCTAGGAATTTAATGCAGCTGGTATTCCCCACATCCTATCTCAACAATTCTCTGCTAAACATTCCACTTACAGCAAAATGCAATGTTAAGTTTCCCAGGTAAGTTTTCCACAGCAAAGGTACTTTCCAATGGTAACTATTATAGTACTTCACACATTTCAGAAGTCAGAAAGGACCTATTCACAATCACATTTCCTTTACTGGGGTACTGGATGCTTCCTAAAATTTTATATATTACTTATATGTATTTATAAATCCCAATTTCTTAAACAGTTCCAAGGAGCAAAATGGAAGAGCAGCTTTTCACTGAATCACAAAACTGTGTTGGAAGGGACCTCCAGAGACCATGTAGCCTGTCCCCTCTGCCAAGGCAAGGTAACCTGGAGCAGGTAACACAGGAACACACCCTAGTAGGGCTGGAATGTCTCCAGAGAGGGAGACTCCACGATGTCCCTGGGCAGCCTGTTCCAGTGCTCCGCCACCCTTAACCTAAACAAATTCTTCCTCGTGTTAAGGTGAAACTACTTTACTACTGATAAGTTTTAAATCTTTCTTAACAGGGAACCCAAAACTTCATTTTAAGCATATCATTTAAAGCACTGTACCACGAATTTTTCCAAACACCATCCTGCTCTGCAGCAAAATATATCACTATTTCCCCTCTAGCTTTTGTGGGGATGGGCAGGAAATAAAAAAGGCTTTGCTATCTCGACAATCAAGAAGTTGCATTTTAGTATCTGGGTGAGAAGGCAGCGGTTCCCAGGTGATGCCTACAGAGCACCCGCTACCTGTGCTACGGCTTTTCCTTTTCTCTGGATAACCCATGGCCCCGTTACTCCGCGCCGCTCCCGCTTACCCGCGGCGGAGATGACGGCGAAGAGCTCCTGCAGGGAGGGCAGTAGCGTATCGGGCTCGGCCTTCCAGACGCTCCTGAGCAGCGCGCTGACCTGGGTCACCTGTGAGACGTAGAGGCGCAGCTCGGCCTCCCGGGTGCCCTGGCTCTGGAAGTGGGCGATGCTGCGCACCAGCTGCTGGCAGAAGGCGAGCGAGAGCTTCCTACCGCGGGGCAGGCATTGCGGGAAGTCGCCCAGCAGCTGGCACAGGCGGGCGCAGAGCGGCGGCGCCGGCCGCTCGCACACCAGGCGCAGCGCCTCCACCTGCAGCAGCTCGAAGAGCTCCAGCACCGAGGGGCAGCTCATGATGAGGCGCAGCCCCGCCTGGATGTAGTCGAGGATGGCGGGGTCGCGGTTGCTCA